CACCTCCACACCAGCCCCCTCCTCCAGCCATGAGCTTCCCAAGGACAAGAGCAGACCTAGTAAGTGCTGAGTGAATGTGTTCTTCAGAAAGAACAATCAACACATGCACACTAGATTGAAGAATGTTTGGTCCAGAGGTTAAAATGTCGTAATTAACAGGAGAACTCACAACTTTCCAAGTTTTTTGTTTTTTGTTTTTTTTTCCTGGTGCATGACTGTAGGTAGAGAAACGTTATTATTTCATGTGTAATTCCTTAGGAGAATCATGGGCCTGGTGTCTGTTTACCTTTGTGGTGTTATGCTGCCATTAAAGACAACAGGAGGAGCATGAATTTACTAGCACTGGCTGTCCCGATTTGAGAAGTTATCAGTGAACTTAAAGAAATCTAATAATGTTAGAGAAGGAAGAATGTTTCCCTTTGGAACATTAGCAGGAGTCATTTTATCATATTTAATCAATGAAGTGGGTCGGTATAGTTATATTTTGCCTTTAAAAGTTGATGTAGGCCAGTGCCACGGCTCACTAGGCTAATCCTCCGCCTGTGGCACCGGCACCCCAGGTCCTAGTCCCGGTTGGGGAACCAGTTCTGTCCTGGTTGCTTCTCTTCCAGTCTAGCTCTCTGCTGTGGCCCGGGAGTGCAGTGGAGGATGGCCCAGGTTCTTGGGCCCTGCACTCGCATGGGAGACCAGGAGAAGCACCTGGCTCCTGGCTTTGGATCAGCGTGGTGCACCAGCCGCAGCAGCCATTGAGGGGTGAACCAACGGTAAAGGAAGACCTTTCTCTCTGTCTCTCTCTCTCACTGTCCACTCTGCCTGTCCAAAGAGGGGTAAAAAAAAACTTGATGTGCTAAATTTTTTTTCAAATCAAATTCATAATAGATTTTTTTTATTTTGTAAGAGAATCATGTTTCCAAGTAGCATTCTCTTCTAATATAATTAAAATCTTTCATTTATGAAAATTTCATTTTCACATAATCTTGGTCATTGATTGTATAAAAAGAATACTTCTGTGTTAGAAACATTTTCTTAATTTTAATCTTAAATTATAGAAGTAATTAGAAAAGTGATTTATGCTTTTCATAAGGAATTCAGTAGTATAGAAATTCAATAGTATACAAGAAAAAGTAAAAGCTTCTCTCTCATTATTAGTTGGCGTGTGTTCTTGCAAACCTCTATTCTGTGCCTTTATCACATACAGCTACAAAGTAGGTATTTTTATACAAACATGTGTTTTAAGAATATGTAGCCTCTTAATGAAAGGACTAAGAGTCAAAGGGAGCACATAAACAAGTCTAGTATCTGCTAACACCAACCGATAGAATAAATAAAGGGGAGAGTGATCCAACATGGGAAGTGAGATACTCAGCAGACTCATAGAATGGCGGATGTCCTAAATAGCACTCTGGCCTCAGAATCAGCCCTAAAGGCACTCGGATCTGGCTGAAAAGCCCATGAGAGTATTTCAGGCATGGAAAGCCAAGACACTCTGGCAAAAAGATCTCTGTGAGTGAGATCCCAGTGGAAAGAACAGGTCTTCAAAGAGGGAGGTGCCTTTCTCTGAAGGGAGGAGAGAACCTCCACTTTGACTATGACCGTGTCTAAACAAGATAAGAGTCGGAGAACTCAAGGGGCTTCCATAGCCTTGGAAACTCATAACTGGTGCATAGGGAGATTACTGATGCCATAAACAGGAGTGTCAATTGGTAAAGTCAACAACAGGAGTCACTGTGCACTTACTCCTCATGTAGGATCTCGGTCCTTAACGTGCTGTACACTGAGGCTTAATGCTATAACGAGTACTCAAACAGTATATTTCACTTTGTGTTTCTATGGGGGTGCAAACGACTGAAATCTTTACTTAATGTACACTAAACTGATCTTCTGTAAAAAAAAACAAAAAAAAAAAAAAAAAAGAAAGAAATTTTCAATTCCCAACTTGACTCTCACTGGGATTAAACATGACAATAGGTCTGATCTGATTTCATCATCATTTTAAAAAAATCATCTATTATTTTTCACTTTATGTTTCTGTGTGGGAGCAAACTGTTGAAATCCTTACTTAAGGTATACTAAGCTGATCTTCTGTATATTAAGATAATCGAAAATGAATCTTGATGTGAATGGAAGGGGAGAGGGAGTGGGAAAGGGGAGGGTTGTTGGTGGGAGGGACGGTATGGGGGGGGGAAGCCATTGTAACCCATGAGTCGTACTTTGGAAATTTATATTCATTAAATAAAAGATAAAAAAAAAAAAAAAGAATATGTAGCCTCTAGTAACTATTTGCTGGTTGAAAATATAGTTATATTTTATATTATCAAGCGTAGTAATTTCTTATAATTCATGAAGATTTTAGTAGAAAGAAGTTCAGTTGATGGTATTTGCAGATTTGAATTTGGTCCAGTTTATTGACCGGAAAATATAGGTTCCAGTACCTATGGGTCCAGATGGTGAATCAAATTAAAGATTCTGTATAAATAGGAATTCTGTGATCCTGAAAAGATTAGAAGAAAGACCCTGTAATGACTTGAAGGGATGGATTAGCAGGCAGGAAGTAAGAATTCTAACCCTAGTACTTTTGAGGGGCATTCACAGGGTAGGATTGTGACAGTGCAGATTTTTGGAAAGTGTGAGTTAACACACAGTGAGATGACCTTGTCCCATGTAGGAAGTTGTCTAGACTGAGTTGAGTTGAGAGTATATTTAAGGAAGACTAGCAGAAAGTACGAAGTAGGAAAAGAAGCAGGTAGAGAAAAATCACATTTCTGGGTAACAAGCCATAATTGTTCCAGTTCCACAGGAGTGTGGTAAAAGTGAAATTTATGAGTTGTGAATTCTAGAAATTGTAAGTTGAGCTCTGCCTTTGAAGGTCAAGCAGAGAATATTGGTCTCTTTAGTAAGTAGGAACTCAGGGTCCTGAGGAAGGTAGATTGAAACAGGATTCCTGTTTTCTGGAGTGGTTGTTCTGGTAGCTAAATTTAGAGTGGTTGGGAAGCCAGGAGAGGAGAGGCCGTCCACGAGCAGCAGGTGTCAGCAGTCACCACAGCACCAGAAAGGGCAAGTGCGCCCCGATGTCCCAACGGGTTGTCCCACACACCACGCGCCCAGGCCTGGCCTCCCCCAAGTCCACTGCACTCCCGCCCTGCAGAGGTGGGTTTGCTCCGAAATTATAAAAGAAGGAACGCAGCTATAGTAAACTGGTTCTGGCTGTCCCCAAATAGAAGGTGCTCCATGTTTGCCGTTTGTCTTTTCTTTGCCACCAGTGGTTGGTTGCATGTGGAAGGAAGGGGCCGAAAGGGAGACAGCCTGCCAGGAGGCTGGGGGAAGCCCTGGCTTCGTATCTGCTCTGACGTCTAGTGCACCCTTCAGTGGCAACCACCTGTTCCATCGCCGCTTTGAGTTTTAGAGTGTTGAACCACTTCACATGGCAGAATGCTAAGTACAGATGAGTTTTGTGACCTAGTTTGCTGAGTCTGACAAACCCTCCACCTCTCCTCACCCTAATCTCCAAGTATCTTCCTGTTCCTTGTGGGAAAGGGCACCCCATTATTGTACCCTCATTCCAGATGGCTCAAAATTGGCCTCTCAAGAGTGACAGAAACATATTCTGTGGTTTAAGCAAGCATCTCTAACAATTCTTTTTTTTCTCTAATTTAGCCTTTTTGAGTATTGCATTTCTCAACTTTAAAGCCAATTTCTCGATTTTGGAAGGTACCATTTCTTTGTTGTTGTTTTTCCTTAGCATGACTCAAGTTAGTTTAGAAACAGCGTATTTCGCTCTAGCTCACCTCATGATTCAAGCAGAGAAAGGACTTCACGTCGGGTGGTGTAAAGGAATTAGTGCTGCTCAGACGTGTGGACACAGAGGAGCAGGTGCTGACACTGCGGCGGCTGCTTCCTGTGCTCCTTCTGGGCCTCAGGGTGAGCCGAGTCACCAGTGCTTCCACAGGCTGCTGTGGCCGCGACGGAGGGCTTGGCCTGGAATCCGCCGCTGCCGCGTCCCATTTTCAGTTGTTTGTTCTCTTGTTAACATATGAGGGGTGGAGGTGGATGTCAAAGAAGCCATCTCCTGGGAACCCCCATTCCCTATGGCGTTATTCCCTGCCCAGCCGCTCTCAGCCATTCTGGTGGTCATCCTCTTACTGCCAGTCCCACTCCCCAGCCAGGGCATGGGGGAAAGATTGTCAGACTCAAGTACTGTTGTTACTTAGGAGGGCAAACTGTGGCAGTTCTAGACATCAAAACATTTCTGACTATCTCAGCCACCAGCATAAAATTGCCTATGATCCGTTGTATGTCTGAGCCAAAAATGTTGTTATCAGCTCATTAGTGTGGTCTGTATACTCTTCTTTGAAAACTCCCTATCTGTGGCCAAAAACAGCTTTAGCCTTCCTTTGCAAGGATGTTTCATTTTGGCTCCACCAACAGAGAAAATATCTTCCACTGTTTTTCTAAATAGGCTTCTGTTTGCTTCTACAAACGCTTCTGCACCATACAGCCCCTGTGCATGGAGAGCGATAATTATACTACTCATTTAGGAAAGGGTGGGGGAGAATGTAGAGAAGAGCCAGCTCTGGAGAGGCGACTGCACCCCTGGGTATGGCTGGAGGAAGAAAGCAACAAGGAGAGGTGAAGTCTGAGTCTGGATTTGTAGGACATAAAGAAGACACTGCCAGTGGCAAGTTGGAAGAGTGATTCTTCTCAAAAGGAAGCAGTCAGCTCTGCATTCGCTGATGTTTCAAGGACCAGTGACTGTTCTCCTGCACGGCAGGGAGGAGGGGTGGCTCTGGCGGCGTTTGGTTCTTGCCTCCAAGTGCTGGGAAGAGCCTGGGGCACTCGTGGCAGTCTCCCTCTCAACACCATTTTCCATAGCATTAGAGTAACGTGTTAGGGAAGCATTATGTAAACACAGGATGCACACAAGAATACAAACAGCCTGCCTGACATGGTATTCACAGTTACCAGGAGTCAGTAAGTGATGTGCGTGTCTATTTCTCTTCTAGGTTCATTTTCCAGACACTGAAAGAGCAGAATGGCTAAATAAGGTAAGATTAGAATATCCCAAATACCAGATAACAGTGGGAATTAGAGGATGAGAGACCATCTTTCCATATTTGGGGATTTGAGTGTTGGCAACATTTGAGCTGTGCTAGCCTGCAGTAGGATGACTTTTGTTCCCCAGAGAACTCAGTCATGACTAGTATGTTACATTCCCTTCTGAGGGGTGAGAACCAGGCTTCCACCTGAAAAAATCGTACTGTGCTCATATTGGTGCTTATCTCTGGCCTCGTGTCCTCCTTCCCGAATGTCTAATGCTCACTTGTAATATAATCATAAGTGAAGAGGGAAATAACTCTGAGGAAGCCTAGTTATTGGTAGTAATTTTGTAAAAGACATGTTTTTCTATCAGTATACTTTGAAATAGATTTTTTATTCATATTTTATACCACTTTGTAGTAAACACTAGTGTAGATAATGTTCACTTTATAACACTGAAAGTTTGTGCTAAAAAAAGATTCATGGGTGTTTTTTTTTTTTTTTAAGATTTATTTATTTATTTGAGAGGCAGAGTTACAGACAGAAAGAGGGAGAGACAGGGAGAGAGGTCTTCCATCCACTGGTTCACTTCCCAAATGGCCTCAATGGCCGGAGCTAGGCCAATCCAAAACCAGAAGCCAGGAGCGCTTCTTCCAAGTCTTCCACGTGGGTGTAGGGGCCCAAGCACTTGGGCCATCTTTCGCTGCTTTCCCAGGCCATAAGCAGAGAGCTGGATCAGAAGAGGAGCAGCTGGGACACGAACCAGTGCCCATATGGGATGCCAACACCAGTGGCGGAGGCTTAGCCTGCTACGCCACAACGCCAGCCCCTCATGGGTGCTTATTAAGGTCTGTACAGTTAGAGGTTTGGAGCTATAGGATTTTTAGCAATTACTAAATACATTGACATGCTTAAACAGAATATTTAATGAAAATAACTAATTTCTGTAACACATGGGCAAATCAGTAGTTTACTATTAATAGGTTTTTAAAATTTAGATTTTTGTATAACAAGACCCTGCTTTCCCCCTTTTATTTTTCAAAGCCAGATTTTAGTAAAACGATAGGAGCATAATTTTTTATGATTATTTAAGTATATTATTATAACATCTCTTTAACATGAGTTCTTTTTTCTTTCCAGACTGTAAAACACATGTGGCCTTTTATTTGCCAATTTATAGAGAAGTTGTTTCGAGAAACGATTGAGCCAGCCGTGCGCGGAGCAAACACCCACCTTAGCACCTTTAGTTTCACGAAGGTTGATGTGGGTGAACAGGTGCGTTTCTTCTGCAGGTCCTTACACTGCATGCGGTAGGACTTCCGTGAAAACATTCAAACATTTTAAACTACCCCAAATTATGTTCTGGGAAAAACTGTTCACCAGGAGGCCTGACATGTGTCTCCGCAGCCTCTGCCCAGGGTCTTCCTCACACTGTGTTGTCTGTCTCCAGTGGGTGTGACCTCATGTTGCCTGCTGTGCTGTTTGCCAGTTCAGTCTTTATTGCATGGTTTCCCATTAGTATTTCCTCTACCTGTTTTATGTGGTATTTATAGAGCTTATGTTTCTACCCCATGTTCTCCTGTGAGAACTGCCTTTTCAGAAGAAATCTGTCGTGTTAGAAAGAGTTGATATGTGAGTCCGCACTAAAGGTCCAGTAACTGACAGCAAGCCGAAGGCATTCACCCCTCTCAAGATGTTAAAAAACAACAGCTAAGGGTTCTAATATTGGCATCACAGTAATTACACAGATGAGAGAGAGATTTTGATAACAGAATCATATTATATAAAAAGGAAAGCTTAATTGTACTTTTTGTTTTTAAGATTTATTTATTTATTTGAAAGCAGAGTTACAGAGAGAAAGAAAGACAGAAAGAGAGAGGTCTTCTATCTGTTGGTTCACTCTCCAAATGGCTACAATGACCAAGCCTGGGCCAGGCCAAAGCCAGGAGCCAAGAGCTTCCTCTGGGCTTCCACGTGGGAGCAGGGGCCCAAGTACTTGGGGCCATCTCCCCTGCTTTCCCAGGCACATCAGCAGGGAACTGGATCAGAAGTGGAGCCGCCAGCACTCAAACTGGCACCCGGTGCTGCCAGCTGTGGCTTAACCTCCTACACCACTGTTCCAGCCTCCTTAATTGTACTTCTCATGAAAGTCCCAAGTACATTTAAATTAGTTGATTGAGACAAATTTACTCTTTGTTTTATTTTTAAAAGTCAGTGTTACAATAATTAACAACAGTTCAAGTTTACATTTTTGTATCCCTAATAGAAACTCAGAAATAATAATACTTTAAAACATACACAATGTATACATTAGTGCCCATATAGCCAAGGCAGATAGCAGGCACATGTCACTACTCCGTACTGTTCAGGGTTGTGGCTTAGGGAGCGTCTGACCGATTGCTACGTGTCCATTCCACACTCTCCAGGCTGCTTTTCCCATCAAAGCCGATTTCCTCCATGCAGAGAGTGCTGGGTGAGACCAGGGAGCTCTGGTCAGTGCTGCAGGGTGGGGCGAGTATCCAGGGTGACGCCCTAGTTGGGCATGGTAGATCTCCTCTATTGTCGGGGTGGGGGAGAGGGTATGGTCACCTCTGTTGCCGTGATCACACCCTCACCTCCTCTGTTCCAAGGTGACAATGCCCTGGGTTAGTCACAGTGGGTGCAGCACTCACCCAAGCTGCTGTATGAACCATGCAAAGGATCTGTGCAGTCCTCATGAGAGCACAGATCCCGCCACAGCGACCCACCCCAGGAAATTGGGGAGCGTTGAGCCTCTGGTGCCACACACAGTGACCTGGCTACACCCTGCACCCTGTCGTGCAGTCACGGAGTTCCCACGGTCTGAGCACACAGGGCTCCCGCAGTCACAGGGTACAGAGGATCCGCTCCACCCTGCTAGCCTGTCCCATCCACGGAAAGGCAGAGAGGGACCCAGAGCCGACTAGCTGCCTGTGGCTGCACCGCCTTGGCCATTTGAACCCTGGAGCCTGTGATGTGTTGAAGGGCTGGGGACACCTCCCTGTCCTACATGGGTGCCCAGCCCCCATCAGTCCTCCTAGCCAGACTCAAAGTCAGTGGGAAACACAGATCTTTCCCTCTAGTAAAATCCCCGGATCACATGCATGCACTAGAGCTGCGGTAGGCAGTACTCGTGGCAAATGGCACCTTCTCCCCACCCGTCGCTGGGTGCACAAAGAGCCGCCACAGCCACTGCTCATTTCAGAATGGCGCCTTCTCCCACCTGCTGCCGGATGCACGCACGTGAGCCTCTGCAGCCGCTGTTGGTGTCAATATAGCGCCTTGTCCCCACCTGTTGACCCCTGTGGCCGCTACTGGTGTCGAGATCACCCTCTCCTAGCTGGTTGCTGGAAGCCATTGTAGGGGGAAGGGGAGAGAGAAACGGGCCCTTTTTTCTCTGGGTTGGGTAGGTACCTTGTACCCCTTAGGGCTTCAGGCCAGGCTCAAAGATAAGGTGGTCTGCCAGGGTCTCCCTCCAGCTGTATCACCAGTGTGGTGTGGGTCGTCTGCAGTCTGCACTCACCTCACTCTCCGGAGCTGGTGCTTCTTCTGGCTCTCAGCTGCGGGGGTCGTGTGTTGTGTCCTCACTCGTCCTGCACGTCCACAGCTTGCATGATGACCCATGGCGTCCCTCTGCCTTCTGTAGAGTTTCCACTGCAGGGTTCTCTCTAACTCTCCCCTGGGGATGCACTTCCTCACTTGTGTGCTGCTATTTTCCCTAGCCTACAGCAGTGCGTCCTTTCCTATTCCGCCCTCTTGGAATCCTGTGTTGAGATTTTCAAGGGTATTGCATGTTCATAAATGTTCTCTTTGGGCCGTTGAAGTACAAGATCTGTTATGATCTTTCTCAGTTTACACTGCAGTGTACCTCTTTCATATGTTAGGTGTTGCTTTATATCTACAGCTTACATCTTTTCTTTACTTGCAAACCCCAGTTTTGTGAAAATCATCAGAAAGGAAGAATTATAAGAAATAAAAATTAAAAAAATATTTTTCAAACAATGTAGTAAGGATGGAATAGGGGAAAATGAGCAAATTGGAAGAGACAAAGGGGTTAAGGAGCTTAGGAAAAAGAGTGAAAATGTGTATCCTTATATGTGCTGACAGTAATGCCTAGTGTGTATTGAGTACTTAGTCCCTGCCAGGCAGTGTACCAAGTTCTTCTCTTTCATTATGTCATTTAACTTCACAGTAACCTCATGAGATACATGCCATTATGATTTGCAGCGTATGGGCAAGAAAACACAGGTTAAATAACTTGCCAGACTTCAAACAGCCATTATGTTGTGAAGTAGACATTTAAATCGTGTAGTCTTATGCTAAAGATCGTTCTCTTCACCTCTGTCTTATATTACAAGTTTAGATAAAAAAAAAATGTCTGGATTTTAAAACAAGCTACATCTTTTTTCAGCCTCTTCGGATCAATGGTGTTAAGGTGTATACTGAAAATGTAGACAAAAGGCAAATTATTCTGGACCTTCAGATTAGGTAAGTTTTTACTGGTGTTATAATTGTGTTGTAGTTGATGTAGTATAATGTCACTTACCTATACCCAGAAGGGGGAACGTATAATGAGCATGCTTCTTATTCTTACCTGCTGTTTGTTGGGATTTGACGAAATTCCTTTTTGAGAACCAGGTGTAGTTTGTCTTGTTGATTTCAGTTCCTAATTGCCATTAATAAAACATTTTAAATAAAAGAAACTGAAGGCACCATAAGAAACCTACAAACCAGTGTCTCTTATGAGCATGGTCATAAAAAGTCCTCAACAAAATACTAGCAAACCAAAACTATCAGCATATTAAAACCATTATACACCATAACCACGTGAATATATTCCCAGAATGCATAGGTGGTTCGACATATAAAAATCAGTCACCACATTAACAGGAGGAAGGAAAAAAAGCCCAAACCATATGACTGTCAATTGATGAGAAAAATCAAAATTCAATACCTTTTCATAATAAAAATACGGAACTAGTAATAGAAGGAAACTCCTTCAACATAATAAAACTGTAAATTAAAGACCCGCAATGAACATCATGCTCAATGGTGAAAGACTGAAAGCTTTACCTAGAGGAAAAAAATAAACAGGGCAGCGATCTTTACTTTCACCACTTCTGTTCAAGCTGGAGTTATTCAAGTTGTAGTTAGAACACTTAGATAAAAAGAAGTAAAAGGCATCCAGATTGGAAAGGAGAAAATAATCTCTGTTCTTAGATTATATGACATTATAAGTAGAAAATCCCAAATATTCCACCAAAAAAAGCTGTTAGAACTAATAAATGCACGAAAGTAGCAGGATAGGAAATCAGCATACAAAAATCAGTTGTATTTCGATACACTAATGACAAATAATCCAAAAAGAAAATGTAGAATACAATCCCATTTATAATAGAATCAAAAAGATTAAAATATGTAAAAATAAACTTAATTATGGAGGTGAAAGACTGTATACTGAAAACTATAAAACTTTGTTGAAAGAAGTTAAAGAAGATACCTATTCATGGGTTAGAAAACTTAAAATTGTCAGTTCTACCCAATTTATAACAATCCCTGTAATCATGTTATTATTATCCAGAATATATAGAGGATTCCTGAAATTTTACGACTAAAAAAGCACCCTTTTAAAAAATAATTAGTCCTGTGGAGCATCTTTTCATATGCCATTATCTATTTACATATCTTCCCTGGACAATGTGGGTGCTAAGGCCTAGGGGAGGAGACAGCAAGGAACTAGTGTTTAATGGAGTGGACGGAGTTTCAGTTTGCAAGATGAAAAAGTTCTGGAGATGGGTGATGGTGTTGGTTACACAACATTACAGATACCACTGAACTGTATACTTAAAAATTATTAAGATGATAAATTTTGGGGCTGGTGTTGGGGCGTAGCAGGTGAAGCCACTGCCAGCAGCCCAGATACCTCATAGGGGCACTGGTTTGAGTCCCAGCTGCTGCTCCTCCAATCCAGCTCTCTGCTGGTGGCCTGGGAGAGGCAGCGGAGGATGACCCAGGTGCTTGGACGCCTGTACCCACATGGGAGACTGGAGGAGGCTTCTGGTTCTTGGATGACGACTGTACCCACATGGGAGACTGGGAGGAGGCTTCTGGCTCTTGGATGACGACTGTACCCACATGGGAGACTGGGAGGAGGCTTCTGGTTCTTGGATGACGACTGTACCCACATGGGAGACTGGGAGGAGGCTTCTGGCTCTTGGATGACGACTGTACCCACATGGGAGACTGGGAGGAGGCTTCTGGCTCTTGGATGACGACTGTACCCACATGGGAGACTGGGAGGAGGCTTCTGGTTCTTGGCTTCAGCCTGGGCTAGCCCCAGCCATTGTGGCCATTTGGAGAGTGAACTGGAGGATGGAAGATCTCTCTCTGTGTCTCTCTCTCTTTCTCTGTAACTCTGACTTTTAAATAAATAAATAAATTTTTTTTTTTAAAGAAGTTGGCAAATTTATGTTATATCTGATTTAATAAATAAAAAAAGATTGGAAAAAAGAAACTGAGTCTGCCAGGTTTCACGTCTGGTATAACAAAGGTGTGTTTCTTTCTTTCTTGTCTTCATTCTTACTTGAACTTGCTTGTGGCTTCCTGCATTCCATCTAAGGCCTAATAATGCAACGTTTATGGTGAATGCTGTATGCTGTGGATTCAAAAGCAGCTATTTGTTTTTTAGTGGTTTAGCATGGTTTCTCTTTTGAGCCTTCACTGATGATGATTTTATGTCATTTTGAGTTTCCAAAGTACATTAATGTAGTAAAGGTACAGAGTTGGTGCCAATTATGTTTATTTTAGAAAGCAACGTAGAATGTTTTTAAAGTGAAAAAAAAAATGTGTCTTTAAAACATTTGCAAACACTGTTATCAGCACAGAAATAAGAGGAGGTCTATTGGTATCTCAGGTTAGTTAGACTGTATCCCAGAGGGCTGTCCACTAGGCTGCTGACAACTCCACAAGAGTGGAAACCTTGTTCTGTTGTTCGGTGTTTCCAGCACTGAATATTCTATAGTTTTATTAAGTAAATGTTTTGGGGGGCTGGCTCTGTGGCATAGCAGGTTAAGCCACTGCCTGCAGCACCGGCATCCCATGTGGCCACCAGTTTGATTCCCGGCTGCTCCACTTCTGATCCAGCTCCCTGCTAATGTGCCTGAGAAAGCAGCAGAGGATGGATCAAGTCCTTGGAGACCTTCAGTCTGGCCCAGCTCTGGCCATTGTGGCCATTTGGGGAGTGAACCAGTGGCTGGGAGATCTCTTTCCTTCTGTAACTCTGCCTTTCAAATAAAATAAATAAATCTTTAAAAATAAATTAAATAAATAAATGTTTTGGGGCAAGCATTGGCCTGGCAGTTAAAATACCCATTGGGATGCCTACATCCCATATTGGAATGTATAGGTTTGGACTCCTGACTCCTCTCCCAATTCCATCTTCCTACTAATGTGCACCCTGGGAGGTCGCAGGTGATGCCCAGGTCGTTGTTCCCTGCCACCCATGTCAGAGTCCTGAATTGAGGTCCGAGCTCCCAGCTTCAGCCTGACCCAGCCCCCGCATTTGGGGAGTAAACTAGCAGATGGGGACTCTTCCTCTCTGCCTGTCTCTGTCTGTCTCTCTGCCTGTATCTGCTGTTCTACCTCTTAAATAAGTAAATAAATGAATACAAATTTAAAACTAAATATTTGAATCAGTCAGTTCATGGATGCCATTTTTAGAATACAGACCGGGTATCATGAAAGGTTTTTGACAGTCATAACATATGCAAAATATCCTGCTCAAATATGTCTCTAAACAAATATGCATTCTGCTTTTTTGTGTATTCCAAACAAGGGCCTTAACTAAAGTGGCAGTAGAAATGGGAAAGTGGAAATTGAAAAGTATTAGGAAATAAAGTGATCAAGTCTTGGAGTGGAAAGGAAAGTTTATGATGGCTTTGGGACAGGTTATCAGTGATTTCTCTAAGTAGAGGGTAATTCTCAATGAGAAGAATCTGTAGGTATGGGCTTTAACGTCAGGGTAATAGATACTGGAAGAATTTCATCTAAGATCCCTTTTGTTAGTATTTTACTTACCTGCTTAGATACTTCCTGTCTAGTGTTTGTCAAACTTCTCTACAAATATTCTCAAACAGGGGTTGATGTCCCACTTCCGGGAGTGAAAGATTGGGATCAAATCATACACAGATGTGTATGCACAGATCAGGCATGCACAAACACGTAAAACATTCGGTAGTGCATGTTTATATTAAAATAGACGCAAACTTTACATGCAGGATCATGGTAGATTCAGGCCTGTTTGACATTACTATTTGAAATGACTTAATCATTGAGACCCCGACAGGCACTCTGTTTCTAACCTTTGATATCACAGAGCCCTGAGGCAAAGTGAGTTTTTTCATGAATGAGGAGACAGTGATCTGAAATTTACTTGAGGTGAAATAAAATGTAAACTTTATTATGTATTAGACAAACAAGAGCTGTAACACAAATGGGAAGTGCATATCATCAAAAGGCTGCTCTAGAAGTAGCACTGTTATTACATTTTCTTTTGAAAATAGACATTTATGTTTAGGATTTCAACATAAAACCGCCAGAACACACACATACACACACACACACACACACCACGTATACTTGATTCTTCACAGATGTGGTAATGTTGAATCTGGTAACACCACAAGCCTATGACCAGGACCAGTAAAATACCTTGGTGTGAGCCACGGTTACAGTTTTTGCCTTCAATTTGATTTTGGTTGCTTTGCTGTCATTTTATTTAGGTTATATAACTTTCAGGCCTGTGATTATTAAAAGAATGGCTAATTGCACTCACCTTATGTAACGCAAAATTCTTTCTTTGTTAGTTTTGTAGGAAATTGTGAGATTGATTTGGAGATTAAGCGATATTTTTGTAGAGCTGGTGTGAAAAGTATACAGGTAAGTTTTAAAAATTTTTAGTCTTCTAAAGTTCTCTAAGCTATGTTCAAAAAGAAAATTATTTAGTTTTAATTAGCTCAGAAATTTCGTGAACTCAAGTTTGTATTTGTAGGTCACAGTTGAAAACAAGTAAGTCAAGTGTATAAGACACTGGATTTTCATGTGATCTTGTTAACCAAGGGAGCGGCCCTGCAGTGTTGTTTTCTATTACCTATCCGGTTTCCTGTTTGAATTTAGATTCATGGTACCATGCGAGTGATCTTGGAGCCATTGATTGGAGACATGCCTTTAGTTGGAGCTTTATCTATATTCTTCCTTAGGAAACCAGTAAGTCAACATTTATTTCAAGTTTCCTGTTCCATTCACTGACAAGACTATGTATATGTAGAAGAATGATACAAAGTGGCAAAAGAAAATGTTATCCTCAACTCTTGTCCCTTTCTGATTCATGAATCCTATAAGTTTTCATGCCTCTTTTGCCTTAACTAAGGGCTTCATCTCTTGAGAAACATCTTTATTAATTATGAAAACAAGGTTTGGGGGTTGGCATTGTGACATAGTAGGTAAACCCACCACCTGCAACTCCGGCATACCATCTGGGTACCAGTTTGTGTTTTGGCTGCTCTACTTCTAATCCAGCTCCCTGCGAATGACCTGGTAAAAGCAGCAGATTATAGCCCAAGTGCTTGGCCCCTACACCCATGTGGGAGACTTGGATGAATCTCCTGGCTCCTGGCTTCAGCCTGGCTCAACCCTGGCTGTTGCAGCCATCTGAGGAGTGAACCAGTACATGGAAGATCGATTCATATTCTCTCTCTAATTCTGCCTTCCAAGTAAATGAATCAATCTTTTAAAAACAAAACAGGTTAGTTTGGCAAATTATTCTTTAGAGTTAATTTATTTTCATTTTCTTTGACAGAAAGAGAGCAGGAGAGTGCTTCCATCTGTTGGTTCATTCCCTCAAATGCCTGCAGCAGCCAGCGCCGGGGTAGGCTGTATCTGGGAGCTGAGAATTCAGTCTGGGTCTCCACGTGGGTGGTGGGGACCCTGAACTTGAGCCGCCATCTGCTGCCTCCCTGATGCGCCAGCAGGAAGCTGGATCAGAAGCAGGGGTGGAGACAGGGCTCTGTCCCAGGCACTTGATATGGGATGTGAGCATTCTAAATGGTGTCTTAATCACCGTGCCTATTGCTGCTCTGAGATTTTTGTAAGTGTAGCTTGTAGCTAATGTTTTATTTTTTTTAGCTAACATTTTGTAAGCGTAATCACTGAGTATAATTTACATAATTTGCTTACTTAATCCCCATAGCCCTATAATTAAGTACTGTTTATTTTTACCTACCGGGAGCTGAGATTTTAAAAGTCTTATTTGTCCAGATCATACAACTAAGTATTGGGGCCTACACATAGACTCAGATTAGTCTGATGCATAATTCATGTTCCTAAACTCTATTGTTATGACTCACCAGTAAATCTCCATCACCCACCAGAGATGAGTGCTGCCATCATTTGGATGCATTTTTTCCACTGTGCTTAATAGGTTACACATACACTTTTTGAAAATTATACAGACCTTTTTTGACTGATCTATCATTCCTTGTGGTAAGCAGTAGGTTCTTATTGGCCACAAGAACAAGACAGTGGAACTGTGATTCCTCCTGAACAGACTCCTGCTTGCCTGGCCTCCTCCTTACGTGGCCTCTGTGGCCTCAGAGTGGCGTCTTCCTCTGTCTGTCTTCAGTGTTCAGCATCGTTAGGGTAATCTTCCCAAGTGCAAACAAATCCGCTAGGATTTTCTTTCCCTTACAGACAAGATCATGGGTTCTCCAGCTGCACTTCCCACCACAGCCCCAAACGATCATCCAGGTTCCCAACAAGAGGGAACCATCAAACTCTAGAGAAACATCAGCCCCGTCTTCCTGTCTTCCATGACTACTTCTCGGTATCTTTTCCTTCTCCCCAGAATGTCGTCTTTGGCCCTTTGGTTCATTATTTCCAGCAAATTTCTACACGTCCCTTCCTAGGACAGAGGTCCCATTATAGTTATGTATATACTGTTAACTTTTTTTTTAAAAAAGCCAGGAATGTTCCTATCTCCATGAAGTTCAATGTCTGTGGATGAATTGGTCTGTTTCTAAAATGCTCCTCCTCCCTGCACACCTTTTTAAATGATTCTTAAGCTATGCCATTCTGTGGCCCTCAATGAGTCCTTTATGGAGGTATTGTTAAACATCATTTTTTAACATGATTTCTTATTTTGTTAAGAATAAAGGTTTTATTATTTTTATCTGAGAGGCCAAGAGACAGAAAGACAGAGTTTGCATCCTCTGGTTCCCTGCCCAAATGCCCACAGTGACCAGGACTCAGCTGGACCAAAGCTGGAGTTGGGAACTCAGTGCAGGTCTCCCATGTGGGTGGCAGGGACCCAAGTGCTTGAGTCATCACCACTGCTTCCCGTGGCCTGCATTAGCAAGGTACTGGAATCAAGAGCCGGAGCCAGGCATCAAACCTGGGCACTCTTCTATGGCTCATGGTATCTTAAAGGCTAAACTCCCATCCCATCATCTATAATTTACTACAGAAATATTAATTTCTATACTTTGATTCAAATAAAGTAAAAAGTATTTTTGTTTGGTTTTTGAGATAAGGGTTTGTCTAGACCAAAATGAGTTTACCACCAGTGGTACTATTTCTATATAAACGTATAAGAAGCATTTACTGTCATCACTTTGTATTACCACTAAAATTATTATTCTCCTTCTCTTATTGCTTACTTAAAAGCATTTTTTAAAAGATTATTTGCAAGTCAGAATTAAAGAGGGAAAGGCAGAGAGAGAGAGAGAGAGGTCTTCCATCTGCTGGTTCACTCCTCAGATGGCTACAATGGCCAGAGCAGGGCCAGGCCAAATCCAGGAGCCAGGAGTTTCTTCTAGGTCTCCCACACGAGTGGCAGTGTCCCCAAATACTTGACCCATCTTTTGCTGCTTTTCCCAGACCATTAAGAGGGAGCTAGATCAGAAGTGGAGCTTCTGGGACTCAAACTGGTGCCCATATGGGATGCCAACATCACATCAGCAGCTTTACGTACTGTGCCATGATGCCTACCCTGTGATGACATTTTAAGTACTTGCTCTGCCACAATGCCCACTCCCATGATGGCATTTTAAATACACAAAATTTAAGAGCTATTAGAGAACCTTTTTCTGTCAATTTCACTTTATTAAAATTCTGGAAAAGGAGAAAATCTACAAAAGATTTAAAATTCATGGTTTTCTCATGTACTGGTTGTTTAAAAGCCAGTACGTTTAAGAAACCAACTTTATTAATGTCTGTGAAAAATTAATCGTTATGGGGCCAGCACTGTGGCACAGCAGGTTAATGCCCTGGCCTGAAGCACCAGCATCCCATATGGGTGCCGGTTCAAGACCCGGCTGCTCCACTTCCCATCCAGCTCTCTGCTATGGCCTGAGAAAGCAATAGAAGATGGCCCAAGTCCTTGGGCCCCTGCACCCATGTGGGAGACCCGGAAGAAGCTCCTGACTCCTGGCTTCAGATCAGTGCAGCTCCGGCCATTGCAACCAGCTGGGGAGTGAACCAGCGGATGAAAGACCTCTCTCTATTTCTCTCTCTCTGCCTCTCCTCTCTCTGTGTAGCTCTGACTTTCAAATAAATAAATAAATCTTAAAAAAAAAAGAAAGAAAAACTAATATTTAACAAATTTCTAAATATTTTTCATTTACGCTTGTTTATACAGAGATGTTTTAACAATTTAAAGAAAAATCTTGGGACAGGAATTTTAGCTCATGGTTAAGACACTGATTAATACACTTTGCATTCCATATTGGAGTAATTGGGTTCAGTTTCCAGCTCTGGCTCCCAGTTCCAGCTTCTTGCCCATGTACATGGGAGGCAGCAAGTGCTGACTCAAGCAGTTGAACCCCTGCTACCTGTTTGGGAGACTGGATTGTGTTTCCAGTTCTTGGCTGTGGTCTCAGCCCAGCCCCAGCCGTTACAGGCATTTGGGGAGTGAGCAAGTGGATGGCAGCTCTCTGTCTGTCTTCATTTTCTGCCTCTCAAGTAAATAGATAAATGATAAATAAAGGTCTTTTTTTATTTTCAGTTCAGAATTTAACAATCCAGATCTTTAAATCTTCCTCAAAACTTAGTAATTCTCTTATTTAATTTAAACTCTTCACAGATGAATTTGCCTTTAAAATAACATTATAATATTAACATCCACATGAAAGTTTAGTGACCAGAAAAGAAAGAGGCTGAAAAGTTCAGAATCGCTCATTTCCTTCTATGGTAACTAGTTACCAAACCATATGCTTCAGAGAAAAGGAAAATTTTTTTTAAGTTACTTTCAACTGGAAAATATGAGAATAGAATTTACTGCTTGTTGCCAAGTAATTCTTCCTCACTCTGGTGAAAAATAAAGCTAGAAAGATTTTTAGTTTTGTTTTTGATAATTTTTTTATTACCCTGGTGATTTAGTAGTGCTGGACACTCATGAAACTTTTCCACATTTTTAGACTTGTTCATTTGTTTAGATTAGTTTTGATAATATGATACTTGTTGGGAGAAAAAACAAAAACTAAAAAAATCCTGCAATGATTAAGGGATTGAGTGTAGAAGACAGTCTGTGTAGTAGGTAATGACACTCTTGGGTGTGGTACAGCCTGGTTTTCCGCTCCTGATTCTTTCTCTTCTCACTGTGAGCTTTGAACAGCTTATTTCTCCAGTCATCTCCAGTTTTCCTATTTGTAATATGAAAATGAATAATACTTCATACAATTAAATGTGAACCTTAAATGTCAATGAGGGGCAGGCGCTGTGGTGTAGTGGGTATGGGCCACTACACCCATAATGTAGTCCTGGCTGCTCCACTTCCTATCCAGCTCTCTGCTGTGGCCTGGGAAAGCAGTAGAAGATGGCCCAAGTTCTTGGGCCCCTGCACCTGCGTGGGTGACCTGGAAGAAGCTCCTGGCTCCTGGCTTCAGATCAGTGTAGCTCCGGCCGTTGCAGCCAGCTGGGGAGTGAACCAGCGGATGGAAGACCTCTCTCTCTTTCTCTACCTCTCTCTGCAACTCTAACTTTCAAATAAATAAATACATCTTTTTTTTTAAATGTCAATGAATGTAAAACACTTAGTACAATGCCTGGCACATACTTGTTAAGCCTTTAGTTTATGTTTTTCTTTTTTTTACGTTTTATGTATTTGAAAGTTAAGAGTTACAGAGGGAGAAAGAGAGAGAGAAAGAGGTTGAGAGAGAGAGAGAGAAAGAGAGAGAAATCTTCCATCTGCTGGTTTATTCCCCAGGTGGCCA